TAGGCATTCCTTAGTTCCCTTGAGAATAGTAGATTCTCATCATCATCGTCCAAGTCGCAGGACCTCTACTGTTCATCAGAGTCGTACTCATCAACCTCATACCTTAGTTGTTTGTGAGAGGTTTTGGGGCGGTCCCTAGCCTTTTCCTCCCTCCTCTGCTACCTATTTCTAGGCGGAGCAACATGGGGGACATTTTCATACCTTCTCTTCGGCTGCTGGGGAATTGGAGGTGGAGGAGGTGGCCTTGTCCAATGCTGTTGAGCCTGTTTTTGCCTGAGCCTCGGTTCGCCGGGGCTGATTCTGTCAAAAACACTTCCTGTCCTCCTATGTCTTGGATCTTGCTCATACGAAGGTGGGAAATTATCATGGCTCATTTGGACCTCGGTGGGTCGGCCAGAAGAGTAGTTGGAAGAAACATCAACTTTCACTTCCCTTTCAAATGGGCTTCCACCTCGGCCATAGTCTGGCGAGGCAGTTCTATGACTTTGGGCCATAAGCTCCCTCATAGCCAAGTTTTGGCTAGCAATATCCCTCATGTTAGCTGCCATGACGGCCATTTCTCTTAATAGTCATGCCGTCGCATGCATCCCACCTCTTCTTTGGTGGTGGTGGAGTCTCCGCCGAACTGCTGGGGCAGCGAGCTGAGGAGGCACATTCGTGTTTTCTCTTACCCTCCTGAGGGGAGTATCTTCATTGGAGCTCATTTTCTTTTGTTAGACTTCAGATTTTGCTAAGTAATGGGGCTTCCTCTTGTTCTTTTTCAAGAACAAATCCTTTTTCAAGGGGATTGCCCATGTTTTTTCAGTAAGCTTTTACCAAAAGGTTGCTCGTGGTTATGGTATGGTTTCCCACAGACAGCGCCAATCTGTTAACCCCAAAAAATGTTACCAACAGATGCCGGTCCCACCCTCGCACACGTGGGCAAATGTCCAACACGCTAAGACACGTGGACGGTCTAAAACGAGCACTTCGAAGGGCGTGGGAGTAGCCCAACGACACGGGACGGTGACGTTAGGAATCCGGCGGGTTGTTTGTGATCCGATTGTACAATAATTACCAACCGGTGTTCATAAATGTATATGTAAATGTGTAGAAACTCGATTTGTGTATTGCAAGTAAATGAGAGAGAGTTGGGTAAAGTGTAGTTCTTTGTATTGATTCTTGCATTAGCCTTTTGATGTTACACAAGGGAAGTATTTATAGTGGTATATGTGAAATGGGAGCCCTTGGATGAGGTTGCATGTGGCCTTATCTCTTTGATTTAAACATCTTGTCAGGCATGAGGTTTGACTTGCTAGCTTGCAGCGCATTTATTGTTTGTGCAGAGCCTCCATACTAATGACAAGACTTGACCTTTATTCTTATGACAAACGTTCCATCAATCATTCGAATAAGATCTTTATACAGACGATCTCTTAGGAGAAGTGAACATGGAGGACACTCCCTTGTGGTTCGGAGGCTCCTGCATCAGTTTCGGGGCTTCGGCCATTTCACACAATACTTCCGCTTGAGGGTTTCAGCTATCTTCAACTAGTTTCAGCTAGGGGTGGGGACGGGTCGGTTTGGTTCGGTTCTCTTTAGAATCGAACCGAACCAAAATTTTCGGGTATTTAGTAAATGGAACCGTCGAGTCCAAATATAATTATGGAACCGTTCGGATTCGGTTCCGTTCGGTTCTATATTATAATTAAAATTTTTAACATTTATAACAACATTATATAAATACAACTAATGATATATTCAATGGTTTTGGAATGCCATAAACTAGTAGACTGCCTTGTTAAAATGATCACTACGGTCAAAGTTTCGATCGGCAGAGGTCGCAACTTCGATCGTAGGTCACAACATCGATCGACGATTGTATAGGTTTTGAAATGTCAGCGAGGCTGCGAGAGTGAGTGCAAGAGTCGAAACAACGTTATGCACTTTAGTCTAGGTGTTTAGAGTTATTTAGTGGATTGGATCTTGTTGGGCTAAGAAATGAAACAATAAAATGGGTAATGGGGCCAAAAATTAAAAAATTAGAAATGAAACAAGTTATTGGGCCAAAAATTTGGATTTAGAAATTGTTAATTTGTTAATTTGTTTAGAAAAAATTAAAATTAAAATAATTTGATTTACTTAATATAAAAAAAATTAGAAATATTCGGTTCTTATTCCGTTCTTCGGTTCTTGGTCTAGAACCGAGAACCGAACCGTACCTGTCGGTTCTCAATTCAGATACCCGTTCGGATATTTAATTTGACAAGAACCGTCGGGTTTGGTTCAGTTCGGTTCAGGTTCGGTTCGGGAGATTTGTCCAGCCCTAGTTTCAGTATCATGGCTTCAGTTCATGGGCCTCGACATGTGGACCTCGAGTGCGTTCACAGGCCTCGGGGAAATGGCGCCTCGACTAGTGAACTTCGGCTTGAAGGGCTTCGGTCATTGCCCACCTCGACAATATATGTCACTTCGGCTGAAGTGCCACGTAATTCGACCTGAGTGGACCATTGACTCAGATGGATTGACCAAGTATGACAACACGCAACAGAATTCATGCAACACGATTTCATCAAGGTTGGAATTAAATTGAAATGAGTTGACAACTCTTCTTTTCCGTCTAGATAAAACAAATGAATTGGTTTGTCAGAAAATTTGATTAATCCTCGTTAAGAAAAATCCAAGTTTAAATCCTTGAATTAAATTTTTGAGCAAGTTATACCGTACTTTGGGAGGAACAATTCGGTGTTTACTTTTTATTATACTGCACACGTAGCCTATAAGAACATCTTTAAAAGACTCCATATTTATTAAGAGTATTTTTAAATTTAAAGAATATATATATATATATTTTTTGTATATAATCCAACTGAAATCTTTATTTTGGCTCTTTATTATTTTTTTTAAACATTTATTGATTTCTCCATACCTTTTATTTAATATAATTTTTTATATGTCTATGGCCCATCAATTCAAGTATAATTTGAATAATTTAATAAAAATATAGTACTGAAATATGTAGCATATTAAATTCAATCTTTATAAAATTAAAATTAAAATATCGAGTAAGTTTGGTCACTCCTTTTATTTTAAAAAGTTATAATATAGTCTTTTATATCTTATTTTTAAGCATTCACTCTTTAAAATAGATAATACCTTTTGTTTAGAAGTTCTCCTGAAGATGTTCTAATAACATAAACAAATTAAAATGGGTAAATAGCATCAAACTTCCCTATCTTTTATTGTCATTATGCAAAATGTTCCTACTTTTCATTTTTTGACATTTTCATCCCTATTTCCACTTTTTCATTGTGCAAAAGATCATTTTTCATCCATTTTTTCAATAAAAAGATAATTTTACTCAGCTATTCAAATAAAACAAAAAGAAAGGAAATGAAGGAATAAAGAACTAATTGTAACAATAGTCCCAAATTTTAAAAAAAATTACAGATTCATCACAAATATATAATTGAAAATCAAAACAAAAAACAAAAAAAAATAAATCCACATCTGCAAGGAAACAAGTGTACGTTGTGCATTGAGGGTAGGGATGATGTTGAATCCGCTTTATTAAAACTTGATTCGTCTTCTTCTCCTAATGCCGCCTCTATATGCATACCATCTGCTTCTAGGACCACTCACCTTGTCTCCCTCGATATTTTTCGGGGGTTTACAGTCGCGGTAACTTTCCATCTCCACACCACTAATTCATCTGCTTGCATCTTCAGATTTCTTTGAGGTCTATCAATTTGTGGGCATAAGCAGTATGGGATACTAATTGTAGCATTTAAGGTCAAAGTGCATCAGACATCTGTGTTGCCTATTAGAATAATGTAGAGAGAAAAACGAGCCATTTTTGTTTTGTTTTGATTTTTAATTATATATTTGCGATTAATTTGTAATTTTTTCAAAATTTAGGACCATTGTTTCAATTAGTTCTTTATCCTTTCATTTCTTCTCTTTTTGTTATATTTGAATAGGAGGGTAAAATCATTTTTTTATTGGAAAAATGGATAAAAATAACCTTTTGCGCAATGAAAGATAAAAATAGTGATGTAAATTCCAAAAAATTAAAGGCATGGATGTTTTTGCACAATGAAATTAAAAGATAGGCACGTTTAAATTAAAACACCCTTTTCATTGTCACATAATCTATACGTCTGGTTTTTTGAAAGTAAAGAAACCATTTATTTTTTTTAAGGGGTTGGAGAGAGATGGGGTAGACTTTTGTGATTGTGAATGATACTACAATACAGGTGGTATTTGGGTCTCGGCAATCATTATTGGTGTTTAATATGCTTTACTTGATCATTATTGTAACGACGAGACTATTATTCTCCCTTGTTCTTTTTAAACTTAAGGGCCTACTTGAGAGTTTTTTCATCGATTTTGACCTTTGAAACAGGTGCTTGTTCCTTTTTTAACAATTCAAAATCAATGCAATGTAATTGGGGTGTATTTCTCAACCCTTCAAATCATTGGTTTTTGGGCCGTTATTCAAATTTTCTTCCACTTTTACTATCTGCTAAATAATTATTCTCAATCCACATGTTTAAGATAACTTGTAAACAAAAATTCAATACTAAAAAATTACTTTATAATTAAAAAAAATTACTTACAATATTCAATTTTGTGTAAAAATGTTTTAAAAAAAAACCATTATTAAGATAGAAATTCGCTTAAAAAAAAGTTATTTATATGTAAAAAATTCTCTTACGTATTAGAAATTATTTTTAAGTACAATATTAACTTATAACTATAAAATTCACTTAGAAATAAAATATTACTTATAACTTAAAATTTAATTATAAATAAATATTTCACTTTTAAATTAAAAATTAACTTATATGTAAAAAAATCACTTATAAGTAAAATATCACTTACGAATAAAAAATTTATACATTTAAATTGAAAATTTTATTAAGGGCATATGTAAAAAGCTTCTAAAATCATTGGATAATAAGTACTTTCAAGCATAAGTTGGATTGTTTTAAAAATCACTCAAAATCAGATTCCTCATAAACATTGAAAATCGGTAGATTAAAAATGTCCCCATAATGGGTACCCAAAACTCTAAAAGAGAATGCAAAAGATCGATGACTTAATATAAAATATCATATTAGTTCAGACCCAAACAAGTCTTTTATCCACAGGAAAACCATGGAAAAACACATATGAAATAGCACTTTAATTAGACACTTGTCAGGTTTATTTATAATAGTAGAGCATAATATTAGGACAAATATTTGTTCTATTCAATCGGACGAACTTCAATTCCTTTCACAATAAGACCAGACTTCGGATTGAGTTTGTTCTTCTCAAAGAGTCGCATTCTTACCATACCTTCATCTCCCTCTTCATAGGTGAAATCTCCAAGTTTAATCTCCTTCCACCCATATTTTAGAGGTTGTGGAACCTGTCCAAAATCATCAGCTTCTTTTTTATCGACAAGGAATATAGTGGCACCCCGATTATATGTTCCAGCAACTATGTCCCCAACATACCTAACGGTTGCTTTGGCTTGCTCGAGCCCCTTCGACCCTTCTTTGAGCATGAACACAAGATAGGCATTATAACGTGTTTTTTTAACCAAGTTTTTTACATCTATCTTCCCAATAATACTCAGCAAGGTCGCATGTCGGAGCTCAGCCACCACAATGCTACACATATATGCAACCAAGATATAATTTGCTCATCATCATCGGTGAAATTTAAAAATTGTTTATCATTGTATGTATAAGCATTTGTACATGTATAAAAACCACCTCGTCTATATTGTTAGACATGGGATAAACTTATTTACTTCATTAGATAAAGGAAAAATAATAATCAACATACTGAGAGAGAGAGAGAGAGAGAGAGAGAGAGAGAGAGAGAGAGAGAGAGAGAGAGAGAGAGAGAGAACCTTGTACAATCTGGAGGATGAGTCAATATCCAACTTTCTTGGTCCTTTATCCCTGTAATAGTAAGCTCCGGTGCTGGTATCCACTTGCTCTGAGCAAAACCATCGTCAATTGTAAGAAAAAATGTCTATATATATCTTTTAATTTAATAGAAATAATTTTCAATTTTAAATATAACCTACACAAATTAGATACAAACTTAAAAGTTCAAGAATTAAGTTCCTTGTACAAAAATGTTTTGATAGAAAGTTCGACGGATGTTGAGGTGGCATGCACCTTAGCCCTTTATTTGAATTTATAATAATGCTAAGTGTACATCCTTTGATTTATGATAAGTACAATTTGTGCACTTATTTAAACCGTATTATTAAACTTTTATGTCGTCAATTTATTAATTTCTATTTAATTTGGGTTAATTTTATTTTTTTTCAGTGACGAACTCGTTCAAAGCAAATGGAGAAGGGTGAAGAACAAATTGGCCGTTGGAGGGAAAGTTTGGGAATCAAGTTCTACACTTTGAAAATTCAAGGACTTGACTTGAACTAAAGAAAGGCATTGGTTGCATAATTAATTGAGTTCAAGGATTAAATTGTATGATTTTAAAGACAATTGGAATTGGAGTCGGAGGAATTAATTGGGCTGCTAGGGTATATATAATAGACACGCACGGAAAGCCGAGAGGAGAGTATTAGAGGGCAGCCAATTTTCTCTTATACACACAGACGAGAGCTGCTTGGGGGACTTGGGAGGAAACATCAAACAAGGTCGGCAACTGCTGAAATATATATACAAATCGGCGGCTGCAAAGGAGGAGACAAGAACAAACAAAAGAAAAAAATCGAGGAGGTTGCCGGAAATTGGTTTTTCAATTGGAAGAACATTACAAGTGGCTGACTTGGATTCTCTGACCAAAAGAATTGCTGTCTCTGTAATGCACACAACAAAGGAGGCTGAATTAATCATATAAAAACACAAAAAAAGGGGTAGCTTCTAGGAGAGTTCGGCAGTTTGAGGAAATAGAGAAAAACGTGGGCTGCAACATATATATTTACACAAACATGGGCAGCTTTTGAAGAGACAAAAAGGGACAAGAATTGAGGCTGCTGGTTGACAAATATATACATATATATACGCGCAGACAGAGAGGGAGAAAGGGAGAATTACAATAACAGATTTGGAAGGAAGAAAAGGAAAACACAAATATGACAAAGACGTGATCACGGCAGCGTCACTTTGGAAATTAATTACGCTTTGTCAATTACTCGGTGATGTTCAAACTTCATTTCATTAATTCCGACCCTATGTTAGGCTAATTTTTCATATTGGTAGGGTGTGATAAACCCTTATTATGAAGTTTTTAGTTCAAATAATTAAATTGACGTTAATTTGTTTAATTGTTTGGATTTTTATTATGGTTTAATTTGTTTTTCAATTAATTGGCCATTAATTGAATTGTTTGTGAATTTTATTATCATCGAGAGAGGTAATAAGATTGTTAGCACATATTAATAAATATCATGAGGTTCGATAGATGATAGAAATATACATTTATGCTTTACATGATTATTAAAGATGTTCTAACTCCTTTAATCCATTTATCATGCTCGCATCTTCCATCGAGAGATAGGAATGTCACATGAGGGGAATAAATTTGATAACTGTTGAGAGAGATTTCAATTAAAATAAGAACATTGACCAACAAGTATGATTTCAAATTGTCAATTTAAATTTTGAACTAAAAAATTGAGTGGTAAGGGGGATTCCACATTTTAGCAATACTTCTCGCAAATTTCATAAATTTTTACTTAGCTTCCAATTTAAATGCTAGATTTAATATTGTTTAGTCACGACTTGATTTTGCTATTCGATTAAGGGCGTTGTTAATTTTAACTGGATCGAACACACAGTCCTCGTGGGTTCGACACTCTACACACTATTATATTACTTATTCACGATCTCGTCCACTTGGGGGTAATCAATTGACCAATTTTCATCTTTGTGTATACTCCATTGGAATTCAAAAACTGCTGGGCAATAAATTTTTTTTTTCTAAATTGTCCAACCATGTGTCGTCACACAGTACAATGTCAAAAATAATGTAAGAAAATATGTACATGTAGCATGAGTGTTGAATTTATGAAGTTTAAATCATGCGCTAAGGTGCATGCCACTTCAACATTTGTCAAAAAAGCTATCGAAAAATTTGTATAAGTAGCTGAGTTCAAAATTCAATACAAGAATGAAAATATTATACATACCATTGTGCTTTGTATCAACACCTCTACATCTCCCTTATCACTCTCACTCTATGAATCCCTCGTTACCATAATATCATGTATTTATAGGGATATGGAAATGTATATACCAATGGCAAATGTGTGAGTATTTTGCCTTATCAACGACTCCCTTTCCCCTTGTCTCTCTCATTATAAGAATTAGCTCTATATACAAAAGGATAAATAGTAAAAAAGAAAGGCATGGCCAGCTTTTCTCCTGTATCTCTCGTTATAGGAATCCACTCTTTATATGAGGATAAATAGGAATAAAGAAAGGAAAGACCTTCATTTTCCTTGTCTTTCTCGTTATGGGAATCCACTACTCATATAAGGATAAATAGGAGTAACTGATATCAAATCATTCGAGCATTTCATAAGTGACCATTAGTGCTGTCAAGAATTCTCATCAAGAATCAACTTTTTGCATTTTTCATTTGGTATGATTAAAGAGAATCTAGAAAAGAATAATGTATGTTTTTTAAAAGAATAATGCTATCTAGCATCTATGATTGTTGAATTTATGAAGTTCAAACCAAGCGCTTAGGTGCATGCCACTTCAACATTTGTCAAAGAAGCGGTAAAAAAAACCGTACAAGTAACAGAGTTCAAAGTTCAATACAAGAATGAATATTTAATACATACCATTGTGCTTTGTACCAATGCCTCCACTTCTCCCTTATCTCTCTCACACTATATGAATCCCTCTTTATCATAATATCATGTATATATAGGGATATGGAAATGCATGTACCAATAGTGAATGTGTGAATATTATGCTTTATCCACGACTTGCTTTCCCTTGTCTCTCTCATCATATGAATTAACTCTATGTATAAAAGGATAAGTAGGGGGATAAAGAAAGGCATGAGTAGCTTTTCTCATGTATCTGTTGTTGTGAGAATCCACTTTCTATGTGACGATAAATAGATATAAATAAAGGCAAGACCTTCATTTTCGTTGTCCCTCTCGTTATGGGAATCCACTACTCATATAAGGATAAATAGGAGTAATTGATATCAAATCTTTCGAGCATTTCACGAGTGACTATTAGTACTGTCAAAAATTCTCATCAAGAATCAACTTTTTGCATTTTAGATTTGGTATGATTAAAGAGAATCTAGAAAAGAATAATGAATGCTTTTTAAAAGAATAATGTTATCTAACACCATAGTAAAATATCGATCTTGGTAGATGAAAATATATATTAAGAACAATAATTAAGTGAGTACTATATTTTTTACATTTAATTAGATATAATTGGACCTATAATTGGAACTGGTTGAAGCTCCAACTTGACCCATTTTTGTCAACTCCTAGTAATAAAAATTCTACCATACAGATTTTGTCCATCCCTAACACAAGAAAAAAGGGTGAATCGTGAATCAAGCTCGGAATTAATTGGCACTACTAAAACGATCCTTAATGAATGCAACATTTTAGTTTTGACCCCATAAATATACAAAATTTAAATATTTTTCACATTCCATCTTTGTATTTAATATCAGATGAAAGGCTAAATATGCACCCACAATATTTTCTTACCAGTGCAATAAATTTTAACAACATGAAATGTTTATAACCTTTGCTCATTGTTACATTTATGTTTCTAACTTTTTGAAATCTCATTTTTATCATCAACCTTCCACAAATTAGTACATTCTTTTTTTGTCCAAAAAGTCCGTTAAACAGTGGATGATATATGTGTGTGTGTGTGTGTAGGTGTAAATAATGTATATTTTTGTAAATGTAAGAAGTTTTTAGTAATTGTAATACTTCCATTGTCTTTCAATAAGAAACTTAATCCTATAATGAAATCTGTATCTTTAATATTTAAGGGTCTAACCCATACAGAATCTTTTGGTAAAGTATATTCTATGCTTCTACCACAATTTGTTTCAAAACTAATTTTGCTATTTGATTGTAATAAGTCTGTATAAGTATATAATTCTCCATTCATTTGTTGTGCTTCTATTGATTTTTCTGAATGTATTATGTATTGTTTTGGTATTAACTTCTTATTAATTATACAATTAATACATCTTGAGTCTATTAGTCCTAAACACTTTATTTCATATTGTCCTATTCTTATGTAACATTTTACCTTAATATTTTTAAATTTTTCTGGATTACATATTAGCTGAACATATTCTTTATTTTGAATTTGTTCTTCTATTTCTATTGTTTTGCCTTTATTATTATGTTCTATTATTTCTATTTTGTTTATTATTAATTTTTACATTTCTTCTAAACTTTCAATTCTTTTTCTAAGAACTTTTATTTATGAAATTTCAATTTTTTCTCTTAAAATTTCTGCATTGATTTCTTTTTTTTTTTCAATAAGGTTTTTTCCTTCTAAACACTTTATATATGCTTTTTTTATAACATTCTAAACATTTAGCTCTAAATTTTCTTACTGGATCCCGATTACATAAGTAACAAGCTATATTATTTGCTCCTTTATATTTTTGCCAATTATGTAAACATTCTATTATTAAATTATTCATTAAATTAAATTCTTCTTCTAATTCTGATTCTTCTTGTATTCTAAAATTTGAGAATTCATCTCTTATTTCATAATCAGATTCCTTATTTTCTTCTGCATTTTTATCTTCTATTGATATAATACTATAAATAGATTCTATGTGGAGTAAAAATATCTTTACAAAATTTATAATTTGTCTTCTTTATTTGTTTTTGAATTTGTAATTCTACACATTTATCTTCTAGACATCTTATTACATGTTGTATTATTTGTCATATACTCCATTATTTTTCTGGTTCTTCTTTTACTGGCACTAAATTATTCCATTTTTCTGTAATTTCTAATCCTAATGGTCCTAGTAATTTATTAAATAATTTATTACCAATATCTTGATTAAATGTATTTCCTGATATTGAAGTTAAATAATGATATTCATTTAAAAATTTCTTAACATATCTTCCTTTAGTCCATTTATAAAGATTAAGTTGTTCTAAATCTCTCATAGCTTTTCTTTGTATACTCATATGTCCTGAATTTGGGTTTGGTCCTGTTATTAATATCTGTATTTTATTAACAAAATTATATGGATTACTTCCCATATTAACTAATTGTTCAAATTCTTCTTTCTTTTCTAATTTAAATGCTCCCCACATAATTTTTACACTTTCTCCTAAAAATGTTTCTAAATATCTATACATATCTAAAACTTCCATTTCTTGAACATTTTTAATATAATAGCCTATTATAGTATTCTTCCATACATCTATTACATTATTCCATGTCTGTGGATCATGTGCTGTAATATTTAAAATTTGTGCTTTATGGTCTGATTGAAATTCTATTTTCTTTTCTAAGGGTCTTTCACTTCCTTTTGCTATATATTTTTCTTCTGTATTATTATATAAGGGATAAGCTCCTCTTGGGGGAAATCATCCACCATAAATCATTGCTTCATGTTTAATTGTTTTATCAAAAAGAGTATCTCCAAAAGTTCTATATGTATTTGAATCTTCCATAAGTTCTTTTGTATAACTTAAATCCGAATTTTCTGAATCATTATCTTTTTTAATAATTCCTATTCTTATATTCTGTTCTTGGTCATAATATAGGTATTCATATTCTTTTACCATCTTATTAATATACACTTGATCTTCAAGCTCTAATAATTCTTTTTTATCTAAATTCATTCCTAATTCTTTTGGATAAATTATTCTATCAAGTTCTTCATCCATTAACTCTATATGAACTTGATCTTGATATGGTTCATTTTGTTCTTCTTCAGGATTAGATTCTTCTTCAAAATTATTTTGTCTTTCTACTTGATTATAATCTAAAAATCTTAAACTAGTTCTTCCATGAATATCTTTATAGGTTAATGCTTCCTGTGGTGCTATAATTGTTTCTTGATTTTCTAGAAATTTCTCCATATCCCATTCTAATCCTGCTAACTGTTCTGATTAATATTCTTTAGGTTTAACCATATTAATTCCTTTACTACTCATTAAATTTACTACTTTATCTATGTAAATTTTATATTTTGTTTGGGAATTATTTGAACATCTTCCTAAAAATCCTATACTAATTAATAAATTGTCTCCATTTTCTACCTCTTCATATCCTTTAGTTTGAATTCCTATATTAATCTTATCTGAAAAATCTTTAATTGTTAATAAAAAATCCGAATTACAATAAATTATTCCATTATTATTGTTCATATCTACTTCTGTACTAGTAATTATACTCTTATCTATATTATTAATTCTTTCATCATATATAGTAACTAAAACCTTACGTCCTAAATTTTTTCTCATTAATCCTTTTATTCCTATGACTATTAATCCTAAATGCATTAATCTAAAATTTTTCTTTTTTAATTCTCTTTAGAATCTTCTGATATTAAATTTAATTTTCTTACTTGATTTCCTACACACTGAACTGATAAATCTATCGTGTCTGAAAAATTGTGTTCTTGTTTCAAAAATTCCTTTGTTATATAATATTTTGGGTTAAGAATTCTTAATCCATTAGTCTGAAATCATAAATAATCTTGTTGAGGGTCTATGATTTCTTCTATATTTTGGTTATATTGTACTGGTCTATTCAAAACTCTTTCTATTATATTTCTGCTTATACTTGAAGTACTACTTCTGGATGTAGATGCTTCTTCATTATTTCTATTAATTTCATTTATTGTTCTAGATCTTCCTAAGAAAGGATTTGTACTCATCTTGAAAACTTATATTCTTTAGGTAATTTTCTAGTTACTTTCTCTTTTCCTGTTTCTTTAAAGCTTAAATTTTCTAGTGTATTTGTTAAAGCTTTTAAATCTTTTTCTACACTTGACGTAGATGTTATTTCTATTTCTTTAGATTTATTAAAATCTAAAATTCTTTTTATTTCTATTAAATCTACTTTAGATGCCACTTTTTCTAATTTAACAAGTTTTTCCAAAATACTTGAATTTTGATTTTTAATATAATCTAATGATTCTTTTATATTTCTTATTTCTTGATCCCTAGGACTAATATTTTCTTTAATTATTTCTAAATAATTAAATGTCTTTTTATTTTCTGATTCTAAATTTTTTGATAAATTTATAATTAAATCTATCAAGCAATTCTGACTTGGATCTTCTGAAAATAAACTATGTAATTTATGCTTATTATTTAAAT